ATAAGTGTCATGGGCTACCCCCAAGGTCTTTCCTTGCAGTATTGATGGCCAAATCTCGGTCTTACATATAGGTGCCAGGGGCCAGATCCTGGTCTTTTATATAGTTGCTAGGGGCCAAATCCTGGTCTTCCATATAATTGTTAGGGGCCAGATCATGGTCTTTCATGCAAGCATCACAGAGACAACTAGCATTCCACATAACAAGTAATGGGCCGACATTGGTTCCTTCGACCAATGGATATAGTGAGAAACTTCACTTTAATCCGTTGATAATCCAATAACTACTCGAACCTTTGAGTCGGATAACCTCGTGCCAACTAACAAAAATACAAACTTAATCAGTAATTAACCTAATAACCCAAAATCCAAGGCTCACTCTATAAACCAACTTCCTAAAGGGTAAAAGACCATTTTACCCTTTTCTTATATGTTCCATAATCAAGGTCCAACCTAAAATGCATAAAAAAACCCAAAATGGCAACCCAAAGCCCAAATTAAAAGCAACAAAAGCCTAATATGACCCAATAGCCCGATTGGTCCCCAAAACCATCATGGACCTACTTCTAAGAAAAGCCTAAGTCCATCCATGACCCAAAGCCAGAAGCTTAATGGTCCAAAAAGGCCCAAACCTTAAAAGGCCCATAAAGACATATTGGGGAGTACACCCTGCATACCAAAATGGTACTCCCCGCATACTTGCCATCGAAGAACACTGTACAAGTCCCTAATGTACAAAATTAGCATTACGTAGAGCCTATACTTGCGTACGCTCAGCATACCTTCCAAGATCCAAAAATCCAAAATAAGATTTCTTACCATGTAAAGTTGGCAACTTTACTCCTTTGCAAGGCTTAATGGGACCAAAACCTTAATACAATCCATAATAATCACCCAAACTCATGCATGCACCACAATAACTCATCAAGATGACATTTTTATGAACAAGGGACCTCCCAAAGGCCAAGATCAATTATTCTAAGCTCTTGGAGTAGCTCATACTCACAAGGATGACTCTAAGGACCAAAAAGAACCCAAATAACTCCTTAAACTAGATCTAACACATAAAGTCATCAAGATAGAAATTTTATACCTCCAAAATGTAGATCAAGATTCAACAAGTCTGGATTCAAAAGCTTCATGCAATCCCTCACTTCTCCAAAAAGTTATTTCTTCTTCTATGAACACCAAAAAAATGAAATACCACCAAAAGCTCAAAAATCACTCAAATGGGGGCTAGGGTTTCATTTCTAGGGTTTGGAGGGATGAAGGCTGAAGATAATAAGGTTTGGTGGTGAGTTAAGGAGCTTAAATAGAGTCAAAGACCCTAAATTAGGGTTTGGGTCTGACTGGAGTACATCCTGTGTACTTCTGGTATGCCCAACGTACTACATAAGGCAAGCACGATCATTTTCCTTAATACTCCTAGCATACGCCAATGTACACCCTGCGTATTGGCCTTCTCACCAGTATGCCATGCGTACACTTGTGTGACGCCCCGCGTACCCGGTTAAACCCAAAATCACCAAACTTCTGAAGGTCATAACTTCATCGTTATAAGTCTATTTCCAACGATCCTTATATCTACGAAAAGGTAACGAGAAGCTCTACACTTTATCAACTCATACTTACCTTAAAACTTCCCAAACAAAAATCCAATTTCCATAAAAGCCCAAACTGACACTTTACCGAAATACCCCTTGGCTCCAAAACACAAACCGAACACCTGGGTAATCCAAATTACATTACCCACATTCAAATGGGTCTAAATATTCTTTCCTCAAAGGCCCTAATCCTAATGATACTCAGTCTTCGGGTCACCACCCTGCATAGGAAACAATTCAAAAAAGGGCATTACACATGTAGGCATTTGCGTTTTCAAAATTTTAGAGATATGTAAGTGTTTTTGAAGGATGTGATTAAACTAAAACATCCACCACCTATATATATATATATTAAATAATGAAGGGTAAAATGGTTTTTTATGCAAAGAACTGTTATATGGTTTTTTTTTGGAAACAACAAATATATGGTTATTGGGTATAAAAGAAATAAAAATAAAAAAGGAAAATGATAGTTTCTCAAACCGGTTATCAAACCGAGTTCAACAAAAATAATCTCAAGGCTATGAAAACTGTCGGTTTAGATGTTTCGGATCATAAACCAAATTCGGATCATGAACATGTTTTTGGTTTTTTTTGTGCACCTCTAAAGTCCACCCCCTCTTTGTCTTCCTCGACCGCAAACCCAAGCTTGTAGCCTTCTTCACTGCATATTAGTTTTCCATGCTCTATGCCTCAATCTATAAATCAATTAATCAATATTTAATGTTTTCTTCATCTTCATGAAACATGAGAAACCAGATGAACATAAACCTAGATAATGAAGATCATATCTTTTTTTTTCTTCAGTTTTCTTCATCTATCTTCTTTGAAGGGATGTTTGGGCTAGCTTCTTCTTAATCTCTCATGTAGTTTCTGGAAGATTTTGGAGGATCCAAGTTTCTTCCCAACAAGAGAACAAAAGAAATATACACACAAAAAAGAAATCAAAACCCGAATCAAAATCTAAAACCAAAACTCAAAACCCTACAACAAACAAACAAACACCTACGTCACATACCCAACCTATAGCTAGTAACATCCAACAAATAAATCTACCACTGGATTTCTAAAACATATGTTATGAAGTATATACACAATATGGAGTAGACAACCACACCGCTCAAAATCAAAATTCGAACAAAAATATACTTTAGGTATTTATAATCAATAAAATATTGAAAGATAAGATCAAACTGATCATAATCAAACATCCAACGAAGTGATTAACTTTGGTATTTCTTTTTTTTTTTTAATTAAAATCACTCAGGTTGAGAGAAACAATGTTAGAGTTAAAGAAAGTGTTGAGATTGCGGGTTGAAAGCAGGATACTTTTGCTAAATGCTCAATTTAACAGTGGAATGATCATCCAAAAGACTCAAAAGCTTCACTCTCGCATTAAACCTTTTGTATAAACGAATGGGATAATGACTTAGGAGGGTAATAAGGTTTCCAGTTTGTCCGCATTAGGTCACTAAGGTTTTTTTTTGTGCGTATTAGACCAATATGATTGTTATTAACTTATAGAAATAGTCCTTTTTACCGGTTAAAACCGGTAAAAAAAATACTATTTCTAAACGTTAATAACAACCATATTGGTCTAATACACACAAAAAAAACACCTTAGTGACCTAATACGGACAAAATGGAAACCTTATTACCCTCCTAAGTCATTAACCCTAATTATTTAGAAAAATGCTTACTAATCAATGTGAGTGACTTCTTTGACTGAAAATGGTTGTTTCCATTTAAACTTATTTCACAACCCTTCCAGAACTTCTAAGTCCAAAAACTCATATGATTGATGATCTTCATTACATAAATATGCAACATTTTATCAATAACTTCTTTTTTGTCATTTAAATGTTTACATGACCACATCCATATGTACAAATACAATCTCACTTTGATACCTCCAATCAATGTCTACATTTGATAACGAATGGAAATGTAAAACCAACAGGGACTTGCAGAGGATGCCTATTATCAATTATTTTATAAAAAGCAAAACCACAACATGAACTAAGAAACTGAAGTTTCAAAATTAATCAAAAAATCAACACATAAACAAACACATACAGACTATATACAACACATAAACAGAAGTTTATAAAGCATGAAACTTAATGACAGGAAAAGTAAAAAACTTAAAGGAGACTTTATAAAAAGAAATATCACCCTTACTTGCCACAAATGGTTGAAGACATCAACAAGAAGATCAATCTGACCATGGAATCCTCATATTGTATGATCATGACTTCAGTAGATGAACTACCGAAATGTAAGAATTGCAATTGAACTCTATTAGCGTTTGAAAATAGAATTAGGGTTCTAGAGAAGACGACGAAGGGTTTAAAAAAAATTGGACCATTTCTCGATTTGTGTGTGTCATCCTTGCGTATGGGCCATGCTAATCTTCTCTGTATCATTCCAATTTTATCGGATGTCCCCAAAGGGACGACTATAGATGAAGAGCTTCGTCGTATAGAGGTGTAGCAGGTTATATGGGACGACACAAGTTCTAAACAAACTAGTTTACTATTGATGATCATATATTCTCAATGTCTTTAAATTTAGGGTTAATGACTTAGGAGGGTAATTAGGTTTACAGTTTGTCCGTATTAGATCACTAAGGGTTTTTTTTTTTTTTTTTTTTTTTTGCATATTATACCAATATGGTTGTTATTACCGTTTAGAAATAGTCTTTTTACCGGTTAAAACGGTAATAACAACCATATTTGTCTAATACGTTCGCAAAAATAATAATAATAATAATAATAATAAAAATAATAAAAAAAAAAACCTTAGTGACTTAATACGGACAAACTGGAAACCTAATTACCCTCCTAAATCATTATCCCTAAACGAATTCTACACCAACGTTATAAGACATCAACATTTTCTACCTTTGATAATAAAATCAAACCTCCAAAAATCAACAAGTTGCAACCTTTTTCAAAACCCCATCTGCAAAATCAAACAATATATGAAGAAATTAGTTAACTCAATAACACCTGCAAACAAACTCATGATGTGATGATGATAACCTTAGATTTATATTTTTCAAAGAACTCGAGCTGAGGTGGGGATGTGCCTTTGAAATAAAACAAATAAAACTTGGATCAAGAGTACAACCTTTTGTCAATCACATGAATGAAGCATTTCTGTAATTTACTCCAGTAATAACAATGAAATAAAAATAGCCTAATTAATCCTCTACTTCTATCGTTCCATTTATTTGTAATTTCACTTTTCACCATCTCATACAAATATTGATGATAAATATAAAACAAAAATAGTATATATAGAAGACATTCTAGATAAAAATCCTACACTATGCACTTCTCTATCTCTATAACAACTCTTGTGCTGCAAACTGCAAAGGCAAATCAACTCTTGAGATCATTTATCATTGATTCCTTGATGATCAACGGCCAAGGATTCCCCAAGTGTCCGGGTTACAATGCACTTCTCCGCATGATATAACTTCTCTTGAACGGAAGGGGACGTAACCAAAGCGTGAAGTTCTTCACTTTGTTCCTGCATATCATCGTGAAAGAAAATGTAAAATTCATTTTGACCTCTACTTTTTGCCAATTAACAAACTTAAACCCTAGTTTTCTAGTTCTCTCTCATTTTGGCCCTTACTATTTTCCAAGTAACATTTTTGCCCCATAAATTCTTGGGTTCAAAGTCTCGAATCTCGATTGTGTTTGTATTTTCTTTGCTTATATATACTATGTAAATATATATTACTTACATGTAAAAAATAAAACATAATGAAACCAAAAAACTTAATTTCGGTTTAAAACTGGTCAAATCTTAAATTGACCCATGAAGTGTATAACTTTATTTTAATATGAAAAATGAAAAATCCAAATTAGTGTTTGATATGAAAAAGGCAAAAAAGTAATCGGTGAAGTACCTGAGATGAGCCGATGTGTTGCAGAACACCAACTTGAGCTTGCAAGAACTTAACGTACTTGAAAGCCGCCTGAAACATCTCCGCCGTGTTCATCCGATGACCACCGGGTACCAGCTTCCCTAGCTCTAATGTCTTCTCGCTTATCCTCCGCCTCCTAACTCTCGCCGCCATACTCTGCGCTGATAACCTCCCCCATACATTACGATTCCCTGTCGTCACATGTACATCATTACTCTCCTTAACCTGAAACGTATCCATCACAGGATCAACTGCAGAACCACCATACCGGTAGATTTCCGGCAATGGTGGCAGTTCCGGCTGCAACTGCTCCATGGGCCATACATTAGGATTTTGGGGATACGGAGAATAGTGGCCATGAGTAAAGCTGGATAATTGGGTAAGGTCTGGTAATGGCTTCGGTAAGCGATGTTGTTGGGTGGTGATGGGTGGCAAATAAGATGATGATAAAGTGGGGTATCTGACGGGACTGTGAAATGAGAGGTTGGTAGTGGTGACTCCATTGTTGAAGCTTGAGAAGTGATGGTTCGACTCCAATGACAATGGGTTGTTGATGCAAGTATCGGAAAAGGTAAAGTTGTCATGGAAACTTAAGAGCTCCGGTGATGGAGGGAAGACGGCGGTGTCTTGGTGGAGTTGCTGGAATGTTGGCCAGTGGCAGTTGGTGGTGAAGCTGAAAGCCGCCATTGACGATGGAAGAGCTTTTATTGAATGTGAGTGGACCATTAGCTTAATAAACTATATAAAGGGGGTTGAGGAACGTGCATGTGAGAACTAGTCAATAGGGGATTAACGTCCCCCCTAAAAACCAGGAGAAGATTAACTGATTAAGGCTAGTTTTACTTACACACCCCCACACTACGAAAACGTTACAATTTGGTCCCTTAGTCTATGCAAACTAACCTTATGTAATCGATTCTTTTGCAAAAAGTTATTAACTTGTAAATTAATAAGTAATTATTTGTTAAAGAATCCTCACAAGACTTCTGGACATGGATAATCAAACATTACATTTACTTTCAACTGTTGAAAATATAATCAGATTTCTAAATCATAGTTTGATTTGCTAAAGTTTTTGGATATAAGTCTATAAAACAATATTTAGCATGTTACTTTCATTTTATAGTCGTGTATGCTTCAGTCATATATGTTCATTGTATATATGTATTGTATGCAAAACATATAAATAATATATTAACACTACCAATATATGTATAAATTTCCTTCAAAATATTACAAACTTTACTTAACAGATAAAAGAATGTTAGTTTTGTAACTTATTAAGTATTAGTTTATTACTTAATTAATAACAGATACATATCATTAACTACATATATTACCTACTAAACAAAACTCGTATAAGATATTCAATAATTTCTTATCATGAAATAATGCAATAATGAGGTAAACTTGTAAAAGCAATCCGGAACTTATCATGAAATATTAATTCCTTTCTCTTGAAAATGAGATTACATATTTACAAGATAAAGGAAAAAAAAAATGAAGATCCAACATACCCTTGAAAAAGAGGGAATTAAGCCTAAATTCACTAGTAACTACTATACCAAAATAAACTACTAAATAAATTAAATATATTATTAACTAAATTAGAAAAAAAAAAAAAAAAAAAAAAAAAAAAAAAAAAAAAAAAGCAGTTAATTGTTGGTTTCAGGTTGATGATCATTTGCTTGGGGTTTCTGCAAAATGTTTCGACACAATGCAATTCTCTTCAGTGTACAACTTCTCTTGCATCAAAGTACAAGTCACCAAGCCTTGCATTTCGCCATTACGCAACAGTTCTTCAGTTTCCTGCAGAAAACCATAACTTTCGTTAACTTTTTATAAAACCCATAATTAGAATAAAAATAAAAAATAAAAAAAAAATAAAAACCTTAGTTACCACACACATGCAATAAAGATTGAAAATTTTCTTTCTTTTATAGTTGTTTCTTCAATACCTAGTTCATATATATACTCACAATTGTGATATGCATGGATATAGTAGTACAAATTTAATTACCGGAATTGAGTTCATGAGTTTTAGAACACCAGCTTGAGCCTGCAAGAACTTGATGTACTTGAAAGCAGCTTGAAACATCTCCGCCGTGTTCATCTTATGGCCGCCGGGAATAAGCTTTCCTAGCTCTTGCGTCTTCTCGCTTATCTTCCTCCGCCTCACTCTCGCCGCCATACTCTGCGCTGATAAGCTCCTTCTTCCGTTACCTACATTCTGCTTCTTCACTAGTACATTACAGCTCTCCTCATCCTGATCGATTCGATTCCCGTATCTAGAGTCATACCAAGGAGGCAAAGTAGCAGCACAACCACCACCTTGGTAGATTTCTGGCAATGGCGGCAGTTCTGATGGTATCTCCGGCACCATTCTATACTCCGTACAAAATTGGGACAAATGTGCATGATCAGAAGCACCCGAGTTGGGTACGTTGTAGTAAGGATCTTGATATGTAAAGCTCGAGACTTGAAGTAATTCCGGCGACGGAAGCAATACATTTCCGGTGGGTATAACTGATGGGAGAACATCTGAATAATTACAGGACCCCAAACTGGGAATTACCTCTAGATTGTTGCTGTAGTTAGGGTCGAAAAGTGGGCTGAATCCGGTATCGTAAAATGTATAGTCTTCATGGAAAGTATACAGCTCCGGCGATGGTGACGGTGGCCGGAAAATAGAGGAGTAGGCGGCGTCATGGCCTGACCAATTGTTGTAGAAGCTGAGAGCCATTGACGTGATGAATAATTTACTTATGTATCTGCAACAAAAAAAAAAAGCCATATAATTCATTACGAAAAGGTTAAATAAACTGAAAGTAATTAAGTTGCAATTAACATAGAATTAAAGGATAATTAATATAATAAAATGCAATTAATAAGTGTGTAATGAAAAGAACAAGGAAGACACCATTGGAGAGGAGTCAAAAAGACAGTGAGAGAGCGAAGATTACCTGAGGAAGATGGATATTGTCCTTTTCGTATCTCAAGTCTCAACACTATACTTGAAATTACTTAAATACCCCTTAACGGTGGGTTACGAGGAAGTTATTTTCACAAAGTGCAGAAGTTGATGACCAGGTCAATAACTATAACCCTTACTTGTAGGAGTTAATGAGTAATAGGACCTCAGGCTACGAACAATTTGGCAAATATTGGCCCTAAATATTTATCACTTGCATTAAAGTCCTTTTGTTTAGTGGAAATTGTCCATTAACCTTCAAGTTAGATAAAATAGAACAATGATCTATCTGGATATTCTTCGGCTCTTTAGTGTTAGGTAAAATTAAATATTTTGTTTTTTTAAGTGAAAATGATTTTAATGGAAAAAAAAAACCCCATTTAATTATATTATAAAAACTGAATATCAAAAATAAACGTTATTATGATGACAATATTTATTTTTATAGATGTTAATGGAGTCAAACATGACGAAGAAAGACTTGCCTGACCCCGCCCTTGAAATCTTCGGCTGCACCCGTTCTTTTTCGTGAAATGCTTGTTTATCCCAATACTCCGTTTACCTCTTTTAACTATTTATCATATTTCATCTTTAGTTACTACGCTCTAACATTAAGGCTATGATTGGGGTGTTAGTTAATAGTTAAAAAGCTAACTGTTAGCCGATAAAAAAAGTATTTAGTAAAAGCTAGTTGAAATATATAAAATTACATAAAATTGTAGTTTCCAAAATAAGTTTTCTATAATTAATTAAGGATATATTTGAGAAATTTGTAAAAAAAATCTCCTGAAAAGCTCCAAATAGCTTTTTAAAAATTAGTTTTTTCGCTTATCAAACATTGTTTGACAACTCAAAAAAGCTTGAAATAAACTAATTGTGGCGTGCCAAATACAACCTAAATGTTACAACAATAATCCAACTCAAAACAAATATTACACTTATAATTTTTATCTTTATTACAAAAATATTTATTACAAAACAAATATTACACTTATAATTTTTTTCTTAAAGATACTAGTCTATTTCCAAAGAAAATTGAATAGCTCGATCGATTAATTAATTTGGAATGTACACAATTCGAAGACCGATGCACACCACTGCTAGACGTAGACCAATGGTTGAACCGACGGCCAAACCAATTGAACCAAAAACCTATCATTAGATCAGTTCAACTAAAAAATCAACTTTAAAAAATTAACTACGATAGCAGAGATTTGAAGATATTTCTTTCGATGAAAGAAATTGTTCAAACGAGATATAGGAATAGGACCTAATTTTATTTTTCAGTGTTTGTTTTTTATGTTTGGTTTTATTATTATTATTATTATTATTATTTTAATTTTCGTATTTTTTTTTGAAACTTCGGTACTCTTTTTAACTTTTAATGAATGTAATTTTTTTTAATATACTAACGTTTTTATTTTAATCAAAAATCATGCATTTTTTTTAATTTTAATTAAAAATGATGATGCGTAGTGTTAGGGATACCATCCTAATGTGATTTTGTACGGTGATTAGATGCCTTAGACATTGAACTCATCATATTTATGGTTAGTGATAGATATATCGTAACACCTTAATACCAATAAAACTAAAGTTGTCGCATTAAATTAATTTATTTTTTATTTTTTGGTTTTAGTTTTATCAAATACACACCTTTTATTATTTATTGGAAATTGTTTTTTGTTTGTTTGTTTGATATTTTTCATTATTATTATTATTATTATTATTATTATTATTATTATTATTATTATACAAATTTTTATGCTTATTCAATTAGTTTACAAAAAATCACGAGTTCAATAGTTATCTTTTCTTTTTTATCATGTTAGTAGTTCATATGGTTTCAATTTTTTTGCTTTTTTACCATTGACATGTGTTTCGCAAGACTTTACAAATCATGTAGCCTCTCATGATCATAAAATTAATTTTTAACGGCTGAATTATATTACCACTAACACTAATTAACAAGAAAATAAAAGAGGAAAGGAGGATCGGTTATATATGAAAATAAAGAAGTGTTGTTCGCAACTAATTAGAGTCACTCTATTGTCACCTTACTATTAATATTTACAAACAAAAAACATGAATAGTCCACTATTGAGTCATCATGTGAATGTTGACTTAAAAAGAACATATCTAATAATGCCTAGTATTTTGTCATTTTGACTGGAGATCACAACATTTTGTAAGATTAGAAATCATGTATAGTGCTTATTGAATGCCTACATTTCATCAACAATTTCACCACATAATATTTGTAATATTCAAAGAATGAATGTACGTGATAGTAAATAAAACATATTTATACTTTGCAATATTATATATTTTAATTTTATTATTAATGTCTTTTAAATAATAAAAATAATGACTTTTAATAATAATAATAATAATAAACAAAAGATAAAAAACAAAACAGTACGAAAAAAATACAAGACATATCATCAGATTAGATGGTATAAAAAACAACTAGAGGGGTGAATATATAATCACCCTATATTATTACTATTGATTTCTTGTTTACTACAAATAAATTACACAAATTATATATATATATATATATATATATATATATATATATATATATATATATATATATATATATATATATATATATATAATATTAGTGCATATTAGGCGCAACGGATCAATAGTTGGGTGTGGTGCGCTTGACACGTAGTTAACACGATGCGCTTCTATAAAAGTGTTGTGCGCC